AGTAGGATCTTGATCTTTAGTTTTTCTTGTTTTAGTATTATTGCTTTTTATTGTGTATGATTACACAAATAATTGGTTTAGCGTATTGATTCAGTTTATTAGTTTGATTGGTATATTAATAGTGAATAGGATATTGGTTTTTTATTTTATATTTGAGCTTTTGTTAACTTTAATTATATTTTCTATTTTATTATTCGGGTATAGTTTGGAGCGTTTAATAACTGATTGTTTAATATTATTTTATTCTTTCTTATTTTCTAGTCCTAGCTTGTTTATATTAATTATAATTGATAATTCATTTTTTATTATTAATTGAGTAAGCTTAGATATTTTATTACTGAAGTTTTTAGTCTTTTCTTTTATTGTTAAAGTTCCTGTATTTGGTTTTTATTATTGGCTACTTGCTGGCTGTGTTTAATTTTGTTAACTTTTAAAGAATTGTATATTTTTTTGTAAGGGGAGATGTAGAAAATAATATTTGATTTCTAATCAAAAATTTAAATTTTCTTTAAAATTAAGTTATCATAATTATTACGTGTTACTTAATAGAATTAATTTTAAGTTAATAATATATATATTATTATTATTTTTAAGTTTAAAAACTTCTAATGTTTTTTATGTTTGTTTAATTAATGAATTTATATTTTTTTTAATACTTTTAGTTTTAGTTTTAAATGACAGTAAATATTATAGATTAATTAGATATTTTTGTACAAAGTATATTTTCTTTTATTATTTTTTTAACTGTTTATAGAAATTATTTTACATTTTCTTTTATTTTGATGATAGATGATAGTTAAATTAGGTGCTGTTCGTTTTCATTATTGGATAGTTGTTATTAGAGTTGAGATAACTTTTTTCATGAATTATTATATTTTAGTTTTTCAAAAAATTATTGATTTTTGACTTTTGTGGTTATTATATTTATTTAGGTCGTTTTATGGTCTTTTGTTTATATTTTAGAGGCGAGAAGCAACTCGCATAACAGAGCCGTGTACATTCGTTAATGACCCTCCACCATTCTGTATAGTAGATGTATTCAATCTGGTTGTGAAAAACAAAATTCTCAAACAGATTCCTTCTAGAATCTGTCCATTTGCCTATCGCAATAGCAATTGGGGATCCATGGTAAGTGGATTCATTTCACAACATTTCTTTACAGAGAACCGGTAGCCTATTTGTCCACGAAATTCATGGGAAATATTGTCATAGTAATGATCGGCTAATGTGAATGAGACTTTATATTGAAAATTCAACTTACATTCTGAAGATATTTAACTGTGAGGTACCATCGACCCTTCATGGATTATGATCACACAAACAATCATATGTCACTAGATTAGCTGCCGATGTTCTTCTCATTCTGTATGATAACGTGTAACAGCTAGACAAGCATCGGTTAAAAACCGGCTTTTATGCTCTTTCCGCAGAAACTAAATTATACTAAGAATATGGCATATTAAATCTTTCTCACAGCTGAATTTTATAGAGCAAACGTTTCTCTACAAGATGGATAGGAGCAATCTTCATCTCGATCTAGTACTTATTAAAAAAAATATTTAATAATAGCTCCTTTTATCGGTTTCGGTTATGTAAGCGAAACCGACAATAAATCTGTATAAATGGAGCCCTTCGTAGAAAGGCGATTGCACGGAAAAGAGAAAAGATAGCTCATTTTATAGAGAAATATTTGCCCTACAAAACTCAGTTGTGAGAAAAATTTAATATTCCATACTCTTCATTCAATCTATTTTGGAAAAAAGCTAAAAATATCAGTTTTTAGCCGATCCATGCCTAGTAACAGCAAAAATTGAATGTTCTTTTACACAAAAACTTTTATATTTGTTTAGGTATGACCTTGCTGAAACGGTGAACGGTACTGGAGCCCATCTTACAGCTACAATTAAAACATCCAGGAGCTACTTTGATTTCAATGATCAACGCGGATTTTCCACATGCAGTGAAACAGAGGAAGGTGAAAGCACTGTTTATACTCATAGAGCAACAGTCTTATAGTATAAATAGCAGCAGGATCTTTTTTTCTAATTTTTTCAAATGCGTGGTTTTCTTTCAACAAAAATTGCTACTCATTTTCCAGTAAAATTAATAGTTTTTGTTACGTATAAATTACTCAAACAGTTTCAAAACATTTCTGGTACATATTTACGTATTAATTGAACAAAAATTTAGACTTTTGAACTTTTCTTACTCAGTTTTCTAAAAATTAAATCAAGGACACCTTTCAAAAGTAACAGCGGCAACTATTACGCATACCTACACTACACTTTATTTCTTAGTAGTCTTTGAACTAAACATATCCAACAATCTTTCTCATATTGAAGATAATTCTTGTCTTCACTCATTCTTCGTCAATAGTGTATGATATCCTGACATTTTTCGTTTCATTCAACCAGCCTGAAATTCCATATTCTACATATATTTAAGTAATTACACATACATATCCTGGCTGACACAAGAAAACAAAAAGATTAGATCTGACGTCGAAAATGAAAACACGATATTCACATCAATCACCCACAATTATATATCGGTTATGCACAATACATACTCTATCAACTGTCTCAGTGAGAAGAACTTACCTTTTTCACAAACTGTTTCCATTCGTCGTAAAACAACTACAAAAAGTAGTCCATTTTCGACAAAACACAACACAGAAAAGGACGTTTCGAAAACTTTCTAATATTTTTGTCGAGATGAAGGTCATCAAAGGACACTACCATATGCGCCTCGATGAGTTCTATCGAAGAATGTGGATATAAGCTTTGGACCAAGTCGCGGGATGAATTTGCGGAATCTGCTTTTATTCCTGAACACCACAAATAAACAGGATCTTTGAAAAACTTTCTAACGTTTTCGTCTAGATGAAGGTCACCAGAGGACAAGGTCGCATGCGCCTCGATGAGTTCTATTGAACAATGTGGATATAAGCTTTGGACCAAGTCTTGGAATGAATGTGTAAAATGTTTACTGGAAAACCGTAATTTTTCTTATTGAAAAAGACAGTTTTTTAATTTTTTCTCATAAACCATTGTTTGTTCGGAGGAAGAAAATATAGTGTTTTGTAGAGCTTGTTGAGCTCTATCTGGACCAACTCTTCTCCAGTTTGGACCAAGTTTGGAAATGAATCTGTGTCGAAAATATTCGAATCTGGTGCTAACTTTACCTACGTGTTCGTTTTTATGCATTCCCTCTCTTTTTATCTGTGAACATTTCTATTTGCCTCTATTCGGATTCTTTGTTAATGGTGAAACCCTGTTGTAAATGTGAATACTTTCCTATTATCTTGTTGATGTTTCTATGCATACGTCATATGAAGGTTTACTAAATAATACTGAGATCAAAAGGGTGAAGTATCAAAACGAATGTAGATGCAATATCGTTTATTCCAAGTGGTATTATTACAGTTCAAAAATACTTTCAATTCAGTAGAGACGTCGCTCATTACTGTTTCATGTTAGACTGTTCAATACGCCGCACGGCAGATGGCAGTGGCCTTGGATGCTTGCTGATCGTATCGTAAAGGGAATGCCGACTTCTGCACTTTCTGAGCTGCCGTACCAACGCTGACGTTCTGCCACCCGGCGACTTTCTTGAGAGCGGCATAGAATTTACCAGCGCTGGTCGTAGGATCCATGCAATCCTTTACAGTTCCCCAATAGATTGGTCGCTGCTGGAAGATACCGACGCTGTCATGATCGGATCCTGACGTGTGTAAAAAGAATCAGTGAAATAGAAGAGCCGGATTTTCTCTAGCAACTTACCAACGGCATCGTGAGGGTATTTCAACGACTCTGCTACATACTTGTTAGCGTACACACGAATGTTGGATTCGACAATGGCAGTGACTATGGCTACCTCACATCCGCGAATCGGGAGTCCATAGGTGCGAGCAGCTTTGGCGATGATGCGGGCGTAACGAGACTGAACCGCGTCGAGACCGGGAAGATTGCCGGCGCCGCTATTACCGGTACAACACTGAATATTATTGCCGCCCGGACAGAGATTGGCGGGATCGGAGCTTCCCTTGCAGGTCGAAGTCGGTTCGCAAGTTCCGGCGACACCCTTACTGTTCTTGCAGGTACGGTAAGTGCAGCACTGCAATGATAGTGACAATGTCAGTAAAACGACAAAGACTCGTATGAAACATCTATACCTGGATGGTGTTGTCACCCGGGCAGAGATTGGCGGGATCTGATCCTCCACCATTGGCTTTGCACTTGCTAGTGCTGATACATTCTCCATTGCGCCCATTTGTGGCTCTACAGGTTCCGTATTGAGCTAAAGCAGTGAAAGGAAGAAGTGCCGCGAAGATCGTAAACAAAAGCATGTGTAATCGCTTCATTGACCTGACTTGTGGAAATCACTTTGTAGCAGAACGGTCTGAAATATATAGTAAGTAGGTGAGTAACTTGCTAACGAATCAAATGATGTATTATTACACAGTTTACGAGTACCTCTCCTCCATAGATGACTTCCATAGGCTCTTTAATAGTCAACATTATGCAAAGACTTCAGATAATTCGAGTTCAGACAACTAGCCGTCGGTAGTGATGTAGACGTATGTTTACCCTGATTAGGAAGTATGAAAAAAACGAAAAAAAACAAAAGGAAGAACAATAGCGACACGCTGATCCATCTATATTCGTTCTTACCCATAGCGCCAAGTTGCATACACATACGGTTTTCTCTCTCGCCGTATTCTCTCACCTTTTCCAGTTGTTGACAAGACAGCTTTTAAAAATATTCGCGCATGTCAAGTCCTGGCAATCTCCAAGTCGGAAAAACTCGAGAGAGACTCCTATCGGAACCTGCTACATTCATTGGATCCGATACTTAGAAGTGGTTGGATTCTGTCGGATTTTAAAGGACTTCTTCGGATTCTTACCTAAGCTGAATGAAATATGCATTCACACACAACTATTTTCTTCGCATAAAAGCTTACATACAAAATTCTTCAACTTTTTCTTTTCATCGAGTTAGACGTAGGTCTCGTCCTCTGTAAGAACGAAAGAAGATAAAACACGTATACGTACACTAAATTTGCTTTTCATTATTAAATTTTGATTTATTATACCTAATCTAACTCAAAAGAGAACTAATTCTGGCCAACGTTTAAGGGTACCTCTCCCCCTCTTTTTTTGCAAAAAAATTGTCATTTTGAGCTGAACATAGTCTAATGTAGAGGAAAGTCTGGGCTATAAAATGAGACCACTTTCGGCTCTCCATGACCTTCCTTTAAAAAATTACGTTTAAGTTTTTTCTTCAAACCATAGAAAATCTCAATTTTTAGGTTCGTAAATTTTTCTCTCCTTTTCTATATATTCAAACTTTTTCCTTCTATATAGCAGGATAGAAGAAAGTGTGCTCTTCAAAAATAGATGTTTTCCAGAATTTTCCAATGAGTTTTCTTAGAGATATAAGCATTGCCACAAGTGCCCTGAAAAACAGAGCCGTGTGTACAATATGTGTGTTTTCCACTATGCGGTTTTTAATAGTCCCTTCAATTGGGCACACATTACGACCCCTCGAAAAAATGGTCCGATCGAGCTCAAAATTTTACCACAGATACTTTAGACTCTATCTCAGGTTCGTTTCTTTTTAAAGCGTTTTCGATTTCAACTTTCGGCGTGAGAAAGTTTTCAAAGTGAAAACCAGTCTTTTATATGAGATTTTCAGTATTTTCCGAATATCTCGACAAAGAAAGCATATTCGTCAAAAATAAAAAAACGAACCTGAGATAGGATCTGAAGTATCTGTGGTAAAGTTTTGAGCTCGATCGGACCATTTTTTCGGGGGGTCATAATGTGACTGGATGAAAACTGGAGTTTTCCAGAAAATCCATAGAAAAACACGTCAGAAAATTCTGGGAAAAAAATACATCGATTTTATTTTTCGATGTTCTATCTCTGGTATAAATTTGAACCCGATCCGACATCGCCTTCCCCGGTTTCCAAGATGGTAAAAAAAGAGGGGGTGGGAGTGTACCCTTAACAATGAAACCACCGTCATTCAATATGAGAGAAGAAATAAATGATCTCTTAAAAAAGGATGCTAGTGCTTGACAACAACTTAAAGGTATGTTAACTACAACAGATTCTTCCTTGAAACAAGATGCAATAGAGCTAGACTCTCATTTAACAAGAATTTTAAATTTATTGCAACCACTTTTATTTGAACGCCTTGATGAACGTCTAAAGGAAACCGAAACTTAAACAAGTGAGATTGAAAATAGATTAGATGATATGGAAGATACGATCGTTCCTATAATATTCGCTTGTTAAATGTGCTATATTACGCAGAGGAAGATTCGGTACAAGTTGTTTGTGATATTGTAAAGGCCATTGGTTTCCCATTGCAATATGAAGAGATTGAAACAGCTAATAGAATTCCTATATCAAAGTCTGAAAGAAGGCAAAGAAGGTATCCGATTCTTATTGCCCGATTATATTCGCGACCTCGTCATTTTGATTATTTTTTATCATTCAACGGAGCTTTTGGAAGTCTACCAAGGTAATGAGGAGTATTATTTTGGCTGATGAGCTGTCGACTAAGAATGCCAAAATCTCTGCAACGGCGCGGCAGGAGCTAACCAAAGCTGATCATCGTAAAATTTGCTCGGCGAATGGTAGAATTTATTTTAAAAAGATGGAAAAACAAGAATTTATTTGCGAACTATATGTAAAGCAGAAGAACTTTAGTCAGCTATATTACTTTATATTTCTTTTCTAGTTGTTTTAGTTAGTCTGGTTACGATGAGGGATTGGTTTCTATTCCTTCTTTCTTGCTTGTTTGATTGATGTATAGCAACTATTATAAGTTTACGTTTTGACATATATAAGTGTATTCTAGGATATGATAACTCTATTTCTTTTTTTCTCCTCCTTTTCGTTCTTTTCTTTTTCTTATGCTGTTGGTTAGTCTTGAAATATGGAACCCTTCTGTTCTCATCACTTTTTGGACAGCTGTATATGTCAAGTATGTATTGATGCTTATGTATAAGTTGATGCATATTCCCAATTGAGTGCCTTGTTTTGTCTAATACTAATTCAAGGAGGAGGAAAAATGTAATAATCAGTTATCAAGGACTCCAGGACTCCAAAGCATTTGGAGTCCATCGGAGTTCTATGGAGCCTTGGTGTATACCCCATAAAATAATTTCTGTCTCTTCTCGTAATGTCCCGTGGTTTAACTGCGATCTGAGGAAACTCCGAAGGAAACGCGATAAACTATATGCAAGATCTAAACGAAAGAATTCACTCAGAAAGGAGTATGAGGAAGCAGCGTTGCAATTTGAGGAACAGTGTAGTTTGGTTAAAACACAGTACTATGAAAAAACAATCTATGCAATTACATACATCCTTTAAAAGTGGTCTTTTTAAAACATGCTTTAAGTAAGGAAACTTTTTGTTCTATTCCTCCTCTTGATTCATCTACAAACAAAATAATTTCTACTCCATTTGAAAAAGCTCAGCTATTGAACAAACATTTTGCGAATGTCCGCACTTCTCTTCCGTCAACTGCATCTTTTCTTGAGCTTCAGAATGCTAAAATAGTTATGGCTAATTTCACAACTTATGTGACAGATTTGCGAGCTACTGCTGAAATTTGATATTTCTAAATCGTGCGCACCTGGAATCTTTGTACCAATGATTAGAGAGGCGGCGGTAGTTATAGTACCTGTACTAACCTACATTTTTAATGAATCTTTAAAAGTAGCAGTCTTTTTTAAGTACTGGGAAAGTGCACTACGTTTGTGGTCTTTTTAAGTCGAGTGATGCTCAGCTGCCTGTAAATTATCTGCCAATAAGTTTACTAAATTGTATTCAAGAATTATCGGTAAACATGTTTTTGGTTTTTTTACTACAAATACGTTTTTCCATCGGAGTCAGGCTGGCTTTCTCCCTGAAATTTCAACTGTAAATCAGCTGATTGGAATTGTGGATAAAATAGCTAATTCTTTCAATAATCGAAAATCAGTTTTGTCAGCTGTTCTGGACTTTAGCAAGGCATTGACAGTGTATCTCAGGAAGGGCTACTGACTAAGTTGAGGAATGTTGGCTTATCAGATCGACTATTAGGTTGAATGAAAAGTTATTCGAGTGGTAGTAGAATTGTTACGGTGGTGGAACGCGTTACGTTCGTCATAACATGTTAAAACGAAAAAGAGCACTACTTTACTAGAAAAGAAATATTTCGGGTTCTGGATGGATTTTACTTGAAAAAATCGGGATCCAGACACAATTACAGCGGGTTCGGGACGGGTTTAAAAAAAATCAAACCCGCAGGACTCTACTCCACTACCTTCTCTTTCAATCAGTAATCAACTTGTAGCTTATGTTAACAAGCATACTCATCTAGGTCTCATATTAACATCAGATCTGATGGAGTCCTCATATTAATCCGATAGTTGGTAACTGCGGACGTACTGTACGGTGAATGAAATTTTTGAGTCGCATTCTCTCTCGACCAGCTCTTTCATTTGTTTACAATTCATATATTTTAAGTAAAATCAATTATGCAAGTGTAATTTATTGCGGTAGTACTCAAGAAGATCTAAAACCTTTGTGTACCCTGCAGTACAGTGCAGCTTTAGCGGTATCAGGAGCTATGAAAGGTACTTCTTGTGAGAAAGTTTTTTCTGAACTAGGCTGGATTCCTATAAGTGTTAAGATAACTGATAATAATTTGTCTTTAACATCTAACTAGTCACTGTTTGATACTCATCGTTTATGTTTGTTTCACAAAATTCTTAAAGGTAGAACACGTTTCTATCTTCCTCTATTTGTAACTCAACCCAGCAGTTATTCTCAAACTCATAATTTGCACAGTCAGGCTAAAAATAAATTACCGGTTTCAGATAGGAATGCATCGGTTTTTTTTCGTATTTTTCAAAAATTCATAATAAATGGTTTTATTGTCGTAAAAACAAGTTGCAACATTTTTTTAAACGGCAGTTTTGTAGAGAAAACAGTTCTTTACAAGATAGTATATCAACACATTATCTGAACAGAAAGAGAAATGTGAACGTTGACATTTGATCTTGGTGCAGTGTTGTTGTTTTTCTGTTGCACCAGCACTTACTTTTTGATTTTTCTTCAACTATTCGCTAGTATAATTTGTCCTTGAATACTCTTCGATGATATCAGAGAAAGTGGTATCAACTATCGCCGTCTCATATGTGCCTATGGGTATTGTGTTAAGATAATGGATACAGATGTGAAATCAACCAGATGCTAATGTAGTGATTCATCGATTTGATGCACACAGAAAGAATAATATTGACTTTTTAGCAACAATAATGATAACATGGGCAAGTAATGTAGAAACGAGAGTGAAAAAGAAAATCAACGACAAAAAGTTGAAAGACATATGCCTTTTTTATGCAAAGGAATCTGATAACGTAGTCGAAGTAAAAGTGAATGAATATTTCGATGCTTGTACGTCCGATGTTTCATCGTCGTTGAGTTTCTAAACGAATACGAGTAGGAAGTCTTATCAATAAATCCGTACACATATAGACTAAAAGAAAAAGAACACAAACACGTTCAGCATCTTATGGAACACTTGATTCAGTCAAAAATTCAATGATGAACGCTAATCTGAACGAGCGTGATATATATTATTACATCTTCTTTCGTGTGGCTAAACTTGAAGACAAGTGTATGCACGAAGGTATGAATCAAATCTTAATCGACTTAAAAAAATGAAGCGTATCTGTGCCAAACTTCGATACTCTGGGAAGCTGTGAGACACTTGAAAATATCATTTTTTATAATGCTCTGCAAATGTGGCAAGATCACGGCATCAGTCACCCATTGTGT